GCTGCAGTCTTAAACATGCTGCAGTTGGAAACTCTTGCTGTGTTACATGCAGAGTTTGGTGGTTTTAAACTAGTGTGACGAGCTGATACAGAGGAGCAGCCACACTCCTCAGTAAAAACAAACCTTTATCATGCACTGCATAACACAGAAACTGTAGTCCAGTACGGTGTGTTAGAGATCTGACTTATGTTCACTCTGAAAGTCTGCTACTGATCTCAGTAAATGTTAAAGAGCCGTTTCCTTGGTTGTGCCAAAGGTGATTTCAGATGTGTGTTTTTTCTGTTTAATACCTTTGCTTATATTGTTAAAAAGTCAGCAGTCAATAGGATTTACAAAGAGGTTACATTTAAAATAAATGACCTGAGGTAGTGCATACCCTGTTTTCTACGTTATAATCTATCTGGTCATTTTTTAATGTCAATAAGAGTTTTACAGTCATAAATAAATGATACATAAACGTTGTTTTGCAAAAAGCTGACGATCACTTTGTGGCACAGCACAGTTCCTGTCTGTAAATTTACAGATGTGGATATAAAAAAAAGCTGAAAAAAATCTTCTTCAGAAACTACTGCATTTATTATTTAATAAAACTGACGGCACTCTGTGCTAATACATTTGGAGCTTATTTCGTATTACATTAAGTTAAATAGCACGTTAGGCAAGAGGACGATTTCTGGCAGGTTAAACTGCTGTGTCTGAAGAGGAAACAATTTCAACAAATTCATTAAGATTAATTTCAATAAAAACATTACAATATTATTGCAAACTATTGCAATAATATTGCAAAACAAATCCTCCTCTGTGTGTATGATGTGACATATGTAACACGTTGCGGTGTGAAAGCCTGTGTGCACGCCTGTAAGCGGCGTGTGTGACTCGCACCTGCAGGATGTGAGAAGTTTCAGAGATTCCACAGCGAAGTGATCAGTGCCAAAAAACAGGAGCCTCCATTTGGGTTTTGATGCCGATGACAGGACTCGACATAGCGGTCTCTGCCCGCGGCCAGCGTCGCCCCTCCATACTGTCCCCACACAGCAACGCTGACAGCGCTTCAACGTTTCCACATAAGCTCTTATTGTCTTGGCGCTCGTCCACATACTGGAAGCAGCGTCGGCCCAAAGTGTCAGTTCACACAATGAAAAACTTCCTCAGCTTGTCGTCGTTTTGACCCACAGGAAGCCGCCATGTTTTTTTCTTCTTCTTCTTCTACTTCCTCTTCTTCTTCTTTATAATGTTTATTGGCGGTTGGCAAACAGCAAAATGGTGCACTACTGCCACCAACTGGTGTGGAGTGTGGCCCGAAACGTCCACAAAAGAATAAAAAAACAAACATTCAAATCCTCCCAAACAAATTAGTCCTATAATGCCCTCTGTGTCATATTTGATACATGAGTTTCTGAGACCTCCATCTCATCAACATGATCAATACTTGCCATAATTTGTCCATAAAATGTTATGGACAAAACTCTTTGTTTTTGTCTAAAATTAACATTGTTGTTAACAAAAAGTTGCCAAAACGCCCAATGTATCAAATGCAATACAAAAAATATATAATAAAAACATATTATACACAACATGATATACCAAAGAAAATGTGGGTTTTGTTATTAGGATCATTAAACATCTCAGTTAAAAAAAAGAAAAGAAAAATAATTTTCTGGCTATTTTTGATGGGTTGGGTCTTACAGGGTTAAAAAACAAAATATAGCCTGATAACTTTCACTTCTCAAGTTCTTATGAAATAAATCAACCAAGTCCAGTTTCACTTTCATATCACCCAGCTTTTTGATCAGTTGTCTTCTTTCAGCATCATATTTCTGACAGTGCATTAAAACACGTTCTATTGTTTCTTCTTCTTTATTGCAGTCACGCTGTCCTGTGTGGTGTTTTTCTATTAAAAACAACATACTATTCAATCCAGTGTGCCCAAATCTAAGTTGAGATATAACTGTCTCATCTCTCCTGTTCCTTCCTATGCTTCTCATTTCTCCTGTTTTCCTTTGGATTTTGTAAAACTATTATTGGCAACTATCAAACCTTTGAGTAGCCGAGCAGCTGAATAGGGGAATAATATTGTTGAATAATGTGGACGTCTTGTTATTTATATATTCCTCACTGCGGACCCAGAAACCAGCTGGTTGCTACTATGTGAGGAAGATCTGATTTTATTGAGTCAATATTCATTCAATTCAGTCAATAAAATACTGAGTTTAGGAGAGGTAGTCTTAGCTCCCTCCTCCACATTCTATCCATGCGAACTGCTGCTGCTGCTGTCAGTTCCCTGTAGGGGATTGTGACTGGTTTTAAAGGTGCCAGCCTGGATTTCCCATTATCAAGGAACTGTGTATCTGTGAGCGACTGTTGTGCAGCAGCAGGCAGGTAACAGTGTCATACCCCTTCTCACTCGCATCTGCAAGGTGGTGCAACTGACCAGTGGTCATCTCTCCAAAATCAGGAGGTTTTAATCCAATCACTTGTAGCCTTGATATTTAGGCATTTAGCTAGCGCTTCTGAGGAGTGAGTATAAAGGGAGTAAAGTTTTTTAACTGTCAGGTAATTTCAAATGCAACATCTCTATTAGGTAACAGACATCAGCTAACATACAACCGTGTGTGCAGTTTATCACACAATGTGTTGCCAGCTAAATGTCCAGCTACTGTATTTAGGGAGAGAAAAAAATGTGGAATAGCTTTTCTCAGAGGAGGAGAAAGACGGGACAGGAGAGGTAGAGGTGTGATTAGATTTAAAGGTAGTTCATTTTTAATCACATACTGGATCTGTGTATGATGTGTTTTGATAAATTATGTATTTTCATATCGGGAAACATCCTGCAAAACAAAGCTGTGTTATTCAAATGTTGCATGAAAATATTCAGTAGTTTAGTACATGATAAACTGGTTAGCTGGTAGTACTGTGGGGATTTCACAGTAGGCACTATGTTGGACTGGTGTTCAGTGGCTGTGATGCTCATGGTCAGTGTTGGGTCACATCAAGTGTCGTAGATGAATTCGTCATTAAGCTGACGATGCTTAGATTCATTCATTGAATTCCACCTTCATGCTAACTGCAAAGGTCTAGTATAAAGAAAATATCCACTATACTGAAAATGTAGGAAACGGAAATCAGCCGAGATATCTTGTGAAACATCTGGTGACTTTAACACCTGACTTTCTGTTTAGGTGTGGAGGCAAAGTCCCCCTCTACCAGGTGGGCAACAGAAAATAATTTTTACATGTCTTTGTCACTACATGTGTCCTACATAACAAGCTGAGCAGATTCGTTAGAATTAGAATTTCAAATGGAATAACATTTTTATTCTCCTGTATTAATATTATTAAAATATTAAAATAGCACAAGATTCATTTACCTCTGCAGAAAAATAGATGGTAGACTCATCCTTCAAGGAGCAACTTTTTACTTTTGAGTACATTTCAGAGCCTGTATTTGTTTACTTTTACTTGAGAAAAGAAGCTGAATCAGTGCTTCAGCTTTTAGTAATTTTTAACACAAGTATCTGAACTTCTACTTAAATACAGAATGTCTGTACTTTTGTCACCTGTGCTGTAAATGTTCATTGTTCACCTTAAATGAAAGGGCTTTGGTCACGTTTACGTATCTGTACGTACGTAACTGTTACGTAAGTACGCACTGAGTTCCGCCAGATCCAGGGGTGCGCGCGCAGTCGAGCGACACAAGGTCGTTACTGCAGCGGTTAAACATGATGTCTATGGCTGCCCGCTCAGGGGTGTTTTCCCCTTACATGCAGGCCACTGCTTTCGCAGTTGCGGGGCCGCTGAAAGCTCTTGTTCCCGGGGTTGTTGTAAAGGGAGAGAATATTCTGTTGAACCCGAAGAAACAGTTTTTGTGTCGCGAGTCGCTACACGGTCAAAGCCCAAAGACAGGCCCTGCTGTGACAGTTAGCATCAATGGTAAGTCTTGTCATTGAATTTTAGCATTATCTGAACTGGTAATGTTAGCCTTTTGTTTAGAAAAAGCACATTTAACGTTAACGCCTATATCCTGATATATTTGTCAGTAGGAGGTTTTCCCTCTCACGTTTATACAGTCGGCTGCTGTTAGCTTTCTTATACATGCAGTTAGCCTTTGGGGCTAAAAGGAGGCTACAGCTGACGTGAGCGTTACGTTAGTGTTAGATAATCAGGACTGACAACATCACCTCGGGGCTCTAAATATCTGATACAAAAGCTTGTTTTAGAGGCTCTGTTAAGTACCGCAGTGTGCGTGGCGTGGCGTTGTTGGGGTCAGTGTCCGTGTCACCCAGCATGCGTGACGTCTCCTGCTCTGTGTGCGTTTCTCCTCTTAGGTCGCAGACAAAACTCGACACACGTGAGCTTATCGTTGCACTAAATCAAGTAATCGTATTTTTTGCTCCATACCTAACTATCAGCCCTGGGACTGATTTGAAGAGTGTAGTTCTGATTCATTGTACAGCATGTTTTTACATGAGGCTCACCTGTCTGTTCCCGATTCTTCACTGTGCTCCACATAGAAAAGTTGAGCGGTTGGGTTTCCCCCTCTGGTAACAGTCAGTTGAAATGATAACATTGTCTAAACTTGCTCTTCACTCTGAGCTTACCTGACCAAGGACTCAAAGGTCCATCTGCCCAATTTGAAGTCAAAGCTAAACAGACAAGAAG